AAATAAAAAAGTTACTAACAAATTTTAAATATTAGATGTACATATCAATAGATTAGTTTCCCCTCATAGAGAGAAGGTAATTGTTCTTGTCAATAAAATGTTCAAGATACAAGCTTTAGATAATGGCCTTTGATATGTTAAAATCATTTTTTTTGTGTTTTGCAACTGCAGAAGTCTGAATCTGAAGAGACTGAAGGCCAGAAGCCTCATGTGAAACTGAGGAGGGCTGTGTCTGAAAACCCTCGTCCTGCATCTACACCTCCCACACTTGCCTCTGGGGACAAGGAGGAGAGAGAGGAGGAGAAAATTGCTGCAGAATTGGAGGTAAACTAAAACATGGGTTGTGTATTATGTTGATTTTATCCTCAATAAGCTGCACTCTTTTTTTATCATTTATGTTACATCCACAATCTGCCACTGGCTTTTGTTCATGCACATACTCATAAGCCGACATGCTCACCATCATTACCACATGTTCAAGCAGCAGGTGCCATATGTCCCCCTGCCCCTGGCACTGGGAGAGCCCAAAGATCACATACTGCTCAGTCACACACATCATCACCCAGGGCTCACAGATCACAGCCAGACAGATGGACCCTGATGGCTGCTTGGACTGCGTTTGAGATGGCCTGCCTGAAAATTGATTGAACACAGTGTCAACAATAACTGATTATTCAGTCGCTGTTGTGTTTTTGTCCTACAATTTATGACAGCTTTTGAACCTCCCTTTTCCTTCCTCAGCTGTTTGAGAGAGCCCCGCTCAGGCTTGCTCTGTCCCCTCCCCTTCCCCTACCTGTTAGTCCTCACAGCAGGAAAAGTGTACCTCCCTGCAGACTGGACCTGTGGCCCTCTGAGGCCCCAGGCACTGAGGTAACACTCTGGCTGACCCTGAGTGCTGTGGATTGCTGCCCTTTAACCCCTGTCTCTATTCTTCTTAACCCGTCTACCACACACAGAAACTACTGCTCAGTCTCCACTTACACCCACTCATACCCTCCTCACATCTCTTCAAACTGAAATTAGTCTCCCTTTACCAGATACTATTTCTCACCCATTGTTGATGTGCACGTATGCTGTGTTTAAGTAATCCCAACAACAAATATGCAGAATACACCAAAGCAAAGTCTTAATTCACACAAGCTTGTTGGTAATCAGCTTTTGCAGTTTTGTATTTGCATTATGTGGCTTAAACTGGTTTGCAGACTGAATAAATAATCATATACAACCACCTTATACCAAATGTAATTATTTGACAGTGTGATTATTTGTACGCACACAGCTTGCAGTAAAAGAACACTTAAGAAAAAGTATCCAGGCCTTCAGTGTGCTAGCTGCTCAACTTTCTTCATTAGCTAATTAGCTATTTAAGTCTTCATGCTATCTCCCCATCAACAAACAAGCTTATGTTGATGTTGATAGCTACCATAAAACAATTGTGCTGTAAAGCCAAAACTAAAAGTAACTAAAAAGCTCAAAAGTTGTTATGGCAAAATGGTAATTTTCTGTGATTTTGGCATCTTTTTAACATTAAACATTATTATTTGATTTAATGGGTGAATTGAAATATTGATTAATGCAGATTTGGGAGAGAGCTAGTTAGAGCTAGAATTAGTATGTGTGAGTAGCAGTAGTAAAACCTTGAACACTGTCAAACAGCTGCCCAGTTGTGCCTTACTGGACTGGTTTAGATTTGAGAGGGAGCTGCATGGACAGACCACACAGGCAGCACATTTGATGAGCTTGCACATGTTTACATACTGACACTTATGTTAAGAAGAAGTTATCTAGACATCCATTACATACAAGCTGATAAAATTGCTCTTTCTTTTTTAGCCATATGGTTGGTTGTCTGATTATGCAGTGATCTGACAAGTTGTTGGATTTGCTAAAGCTAAGATCACTTCACTGCGTTTAAATTAAACTTGAAGTGCTTTCATTTATAGGGAAGGCACTTATCTCCTGTCCCCCACATCGTGTTGACAGAGTGTTTGCCTGCTTCGTCCACTGCCTCAGAGGATCCTGTCAGAGATTTAGCAGATGACCCTGTAGAAGAGCGTCCATCACGAGATTCGACTGGTCATTATACCGTCTACCAGACTCAAATTTCAAAAGAAAGGGGTACATTTGAAAGCCCTTCTCAGCAAGAGCAGTCTTGTTTTAAAGAGGATATGGAGTTAAAACAGGAGGTTTCCCTGCTGTTGACAGATTTGGATGTGATGGTGGTGTCTCCAATTGAGGCCCAAGAGTTCAGCAGGATGACAGGACAAGCTTTGCATACTCTGACTATCTCACCACAGACCAAAGAAATCTCTGAGGTTCAGCTGAGTGTCCGGCCTCTCCTAGTGCTCCTCAAGGAGGAAGAAGCTGTCAGGGAGGCCTATAGGCGACTGCATACCCTTTTGGAGATGTCCAAGCCGGTGCCCAAACCCAGGATAAAATCCTCTCCTCACGCGGGCCAGGAGAGCTCTCTGATGGAGGCTCTGAGAAGAGGGATAGAGACAGGGGATAAGGTGCTGACACTTCAGCACAACACTGGAACTAAGACGATTCCTGAGGTACAAAAGAATCTATCCCAGAAGAAAACGAGAGAAGATATCCGACGCAGCACCTACAGGAGGCTGGACAGCTTGGAGGAGACTATTCGTGAGCTGGAGAACACCTTGATAGAGATCAGTGGCCATCCAACTGCAGAGCAGCTCTACACTGAGACCACCACCAAAACCGCTACTGTGCAGATGACGGGCAGTCCGACCTCAGAGACCAAGAAGCCACCAGTCCCACCCAAGCCATGCTCTTTGAGCCCAGCATTGATCCAGGTTCATTTCTTACACCTGCTGTGCAGATTCCTGCTCTGAAGCAGCATGCTCTATTTTCTTTCTTCACTGCTTCTCTCTGGGTGACTGCTGGAACTTCACTTTCAAGCTTCTGGTGTCTGCTCCCTGACTAAATAAGCATATAATTGTATTTGAAATCAAAAATATGTAATAGGGAACAGACATCAGACTTCCTCCCTATTTGTCTGTTCTGTGATTAGTGCTGGAGCTGCAGTCCTGCTGAGTCCAGAGTTGTTAATTGTTTCTTTATCGATCTGTCCTGGTATCTGTTTTCTGTCTGTAAATCTAGCCAGTCTCACCTTTTGTTACACCAAACAGGCAATAAAAATAAATCCATAGATAATACAAATATATCAAAATTCCTCTTCTGTCTTCTCATCTTAACATCATCATCTCTGTGAAATTAATGTCTTCCTGTTTGTTGTGTCTTGAAAGCAGCTCTCTTTGCCTCAGAAAATTGTTTTAAACGAAATAATGGTACATCAGCTGTGCTTAAACAAGCTTTAACGGCTCATATTTTATGTACTGTGTCACAATATAATTGGTCATGCCAATGGCTACTTGGTAAATTTGTGTTTTCAAAACACACGAAGACATTATTTTCAGTGAACATTTTTCAAGAACTTAATTATCAATCTTCCTACTCAGAGACCTGAATGAGGACAGAAATCCATCTCTTATACCAAAGCCAAATATCACTTCTTGTTAATATCCAATGACCACGTGTTGAACTCTGTTACCAGACATAGTGAGGGGTCTGTTTTCAACTCACCTCCCATTGACTGTAACACAACAAAAGATTAGTGATAATCAAAAAACTTAATGCGCTCCTGTGTCAGCTTCCACTTCAGTGAGGTGTCTTGACAGCTTGTGTAGCATTCCCTGTTGCTCTGAATGTAGCCTCCCACTCAGGGCAGGGCTGCAATACTTGACAGTAGCACTGTCATGGTGAGTTTTAGCCCTCTGATGTAGAGCCAGGGAGCAATCCCGTGGGCATGGCTGAGGATTACAGAGTCTTCACACATTATTTCATCACTCCAACTTCAACCACGTTCATCATTTCAACATGACCCTTCTTCCTACTCTTGTCCAACATTTGCTAATATACTCACCAAATTCACACTGACAAGCAATCTGCTTTCAAACCCCATTGCAGTTCAGTTTTTAATTAGCACATTAGAAAACGAATGTATCCATCAAGCATTAAATATACTGTATATTTTATGTCTGTTTCAAAATTCATATCAAGAGCAGTATTGGCGTAGAAGAAAGAGAGGTGTCTTTCCCTTGAATTACTGTAGGAGAGAAAGCAGGGTATTTGACAAAACTACAATTAATCTTTTATTAGTTTTCCTTTCAGCTAATATCTCTGTGTGCACAAAAGGCACAGTTGGATGGAAATTTAACTGAATACATATATTTGTTTTTGTGCATATTAGAGACAGTCGACAGAGTAACTCAGCGGGAAAGATCATTAAGCACACTGTCTCGTAGATCCTGCGGTGAGGCTAGGCTATGCAACGTCAGTTTTGATGCTGCATTTCTATGTTCTCGTCTTTGTCATTTCCTACTGATAGATGGTGAAACTCAGTGAAGTGAATTGTTCAGTTATATCAGCCACAAGCTCTGATCTTAAAAACCTCATTGGTCTCAGGAGACAGACTCTGTACAGAGCTGATGTGTGTCTGAGGCGTAAACTAAAAGCACTGAAGAGGAGAAATTACATGTACGACCATGTACTGTGTCCAAGGTCTGATTCACACTTCTCCTCTCCTCTCCTCTCCTCTCCTCTCCTCTCATCTCCTCTCCTTTCCTCTCTTCTTCTCCTCTCCTCCCCTCTCCTCTTCTCTCCTCTCAGGGAGGGAATATTTCTAGTGTTGGCAAAGTTCTCCACTCATCAGCTGCCTCCAAACTGAAGCACCTGCAGCAGAACAGCACAGACAAGACTAAAAGTGGCAAAAGAGAGGACTTCATGAAGACCCAGGGCCAGCAGCAGGTATCGTCTTTATATTTAGCACTGTCAGGGCCATTGCACGCTTGATCTTGCGCCACGTGTGCAGATGGGACTGTATGGTACTTTCCAGACACACTATATATTGGTTGCCTTTTGTGGTGGTGGCAGTCAAGGTCATAACCATTTTTCTAATATTTAAAAAAGACTTGCACAGAATAGGGTTATAAAAATCATAAAAGTGAAGATGGTGATCATTATAAAAAAAAAAAAGATTTTTACTATGCCCTCTGAAACTGGGGCAAAGAGAGGCAATGATCTGTGCCGGCTATAAATCAAGAAAGATGAGACAGACAATTATTTGGATGTGGAAGAGTTTTTAATTTTTCTTTCACATACAAGGTAATTTGATGACCTTGTTCTTCATATGGAAACATGATTTATTATAAAGGTGGTGGCACCGTCACACACCTTTAGCAAGAATGTCCTAACCTCTGGAGGTGTCTCCAGAATGGTCATGCAGCCTCACTGTATCACACCAGATAAAGCATAAATGGGCCTTTACCATCACTCTTCACCTCCACTCAGTCCTATCCTTGCCCCACAGAACCAGTGCACATCTCCTTCATGTTCCACTCTTCAGACCACATTTCCCACAAGGTGTAATTTTAAAATATATCGTCTTAAATGTTTTGTTTTTGAAAGACCATGGCCACGATTCAACTGAATTTAAAACCAGTTTAGCTAATGATAATACATTCTTTGATGGCAAAGTCACATTATCATGACAGTCTCATTATCATGAGTTTGTTCAAATAGATCAAAGGATCCTCTGCAGGCTTTTTGTCCCACAGAGAGATGTGTGTCAGACAGGTTACAGTAGTGGAGGATTAGCGCTTCATTTACCTAAAATGTGTTTTTATGTCTGAACGTCTTAAGCTATCCCTAATTATAGTCTCTAAACCCATTAAAACTTTAAAAAAAACTTTACTAAGCAATATATATTAGCATAATAGGCAGATTAGATGAGAAATCCGCACACAGACCTACAAAGATATTAAAAACTTAAAATGACTAAAGTTTAATTGCCTAAAACTTGAAAACTCTCTGCTGAAGCCTCTTATACACATTTGTTGTTATATGTTTTCCTGATAGCTTGCTCAACATCTTTTTTTCAGTTTTCATTTGCAAGCATTTTGGTGTTATAAAGTAAGGTAAAGGACTGGACATATGGATGCTAGATGGCCTCTGGGGAGATGAGGAAATTGAACTGTTGAAGCATGTCAGTCCAGTAAAGCCAATGCTAGTGCACAGGGGGGAAAAAAGCTTAATGTCAATGTAATTTGAAAACTAACAGGAGCAGTGAAGTGAATGTTCCATTCCATTCCCCACAGAATTTGACGGTGCACTCAGACACAAATTCAGTCTTGAAAGATTGTAGACAAATGTGTTAGGCAGAGAGAGAGAGAAAGGGATTGAAGAGACGGGGAGAGTAATGAAGCTTTGGTCGCCTTAGACTGGGAGAAGATTGGGAGGAATCTTTACAGCCCCATGTAATAATCACCTCTTGAGTCACTGGCAATCACTGATTATTCAGTATGAAGGGGACAGTTTTCTTTTCCCCACCATTAAGTCTTTCACGTTTCCTCTTCTTTATGTCTCTTTCCTTCTTCCACTTTCTGTACTCTGCAATTTACACATGCTGCCCCTTTTTCCTTTTCACTCTTCCCCTATCAGTCTCCCTCATTCGCTGTGATTTGGAAGCAGAGTGGATTCCAACACTTGTGTAATGAAAGCAAAATTAATCCCATTATTTCAGATGGCACGCTCCCTTTGTCCACAAACTGCTCAAAACAGTCATTGTGAAAAAAAGCTGTGTGTGTGAAAGCGCTATCCTCAGAGGGACAGTGGACAGTCAAAGCTAATTGTCAGTGTGGGAAGTCGTGCCAAGTTGTTTAGGGTGGCAACATACCACAACTGCATGGCTAATAACAAAAACAAACAAAGAACCAGCTGACTTGAACCAATAGAATAAACTGTCAGCTGTGGCACTCCTCACAATTGCCAAAAACTGCATTTTGTGGTATTTTGATGTATGAGGTGCAACGAGAGAGAGTGGTCAACTAGTCCATTAGTATACCAGTAGGTAGAGGTTTGGAGAGGTTTTGTTATACAAAAACAAGTACAAGGACATTTTTCAAGAAAGGGGAGCACTCTCAAAATACAAATGCCAACCAATGTGGTCCTATTAGTTTCATAATTACTACTCAAGCAGCTACACAATCCAAACTTATACAGAGTTAATATTAAATAAATGAATAATTATGAAATCTATAATCACATGAATACATTGTGTAAACCACACAAATTAAAATACATGCTGTGAAATAATTTATGCAATTATTAAGATTGAACTTATTATGAAATGTTATTAATTTTATTTTCATCCAATCACATGCCCCCTGCCTCGAGGTTTAATCAGTCAGCTCTTGTAATTCTGATTCAACTATCTTGCTACTGCTGTAAATAAAACAGTACAAAGACACAGAGACACATCTCCTTATTTATGAACCTACTTACCTTGCTTACTTACCAGACAGGGTTGTGAGCCTTTATTATTACTCGGTGTCAAAGTGAAGAGACGGTGTGTCGGCAGCAGCTAACATTAGCTGATTAATTCAGAGTTACAGTTTGAACCCAGTTGTGTTCCTCAGTGAAAGACACACAATTATGTGAAGATCAAAAAGACTGAGATTCTTTTTTCTGGAGCTAGCTACCAAGCTAAAGAGGTTTCTTACTGTGTCTGTGTCTTGTGTTTATTTACAGCTGCAGCCTCTAGTTGCATAGCTTTCTGTTGTTGCTCAAGCTAACAGGAGCTAACTGGCTAAATCTGGTAGCAGTTGTTGAGCTTGCTTGTTTAAGAGGCAGGGGGCATGTGAAAGGAGGCTGAAAGGTGCGCGGGTGGTGATAACACAGGCATTTTTAAATGAAAATGTCTATAATGAAATAAAAAAGATATACAATAAAATTCTGATATTATGAAAATGAATAATCAAATAACATTACATGATAATGAGTTGGGTTTTGGTAATTTCATCAAATATTTATTATTATTTTATTTCATTTATATGTTTGACAATTTATTCATTTGATTATTTATGTTTTTTTATGTATTTAATATCGAACACTTTGGGATTTCATAAAACAAGCAGTGCCATGTATAGCATGAGATTGGTGGAAAATACCAACACGAATTTTTCAGCACCCTGTTAAAATTTTAATGAAGCAAGATGCTGAGAATCTAGTGCTGTGTTATTGGTTTCCACAAGCTGTTACATTTGAAATTGCTCCTTCTTGGTCAGATTCCTGATGTCTTTCATGTCAAACCAAGAAAACAGCACAGATCCTTACAATTAAACTTAAAGATGGATAGAGCAAAACCTGTCTACTAAATCATTTTAAATTCAGTATAATGAAACACCTGAGCACGAACTATGCTGGAAAAACACACTGATTATCTGCAGCTCATCTCATCAAATTATCAAAGTGGCTGGCTTACTTGCATACAGCCTTTAAGAGCTGATTAAGAACTTTTGCTGACTCTATGTTCCCTCCACTCAGTGTTTTTTTAACCCGTTACTGACATTGCGCTTGTGATCTGTCTGAAGTGAAAGCCTAATTATAGCCACTAAAAAATAAAATATGAGCTGCTACTTTTTGAAAACTAAAAAGTAAGAAGGTTATTTTTGAAGAATGAGTTTGTGCAGAATTTGTCAAAAAAGTCATCCAACTGAGATATACACCTGCTACATTTCTGACTGATATTGTTGTTATGACTATCAGACATGCCCACCTTGGGTGACCTCTCTGCTCGGCCCACAGATTAAGGTAAAGGTTTCTCTTCTCTTCAACCTTTCCTGGATATAATTCCCTTAATGTGACCCCTTAACATTTACCCTCTTTCCAGTTTCCATTGGTGTTTTCTCTTTTGTTTCCTCTGGCCAAATGAAAATTGATATTTCTAGGGCATTTTGAAGGGCACAAACCTAAGGAATGAGCTTACCTTTCAGTGATCTACTTCCTCCCACCCTCAGCAAATATGTGAATAGATCTAAATATATAAATGCCTTTAGCATCAGTGGCATTATCTGCACAATGACAATGACATTTCCCACCAATTCAGATGAAAGGCAGCTGATGCATATTAACATGTTATGAAAGCCAGTAAAACATTTTAAGACATCACTGTGTACCATCTGCAATCAGCTAAAACAAGATGCACTGGCACCACATTTTGGTTTCATGTGGATCCTGCGTTTCACATTGCCAATTTCAATTTTTTTTATTTTCATTAAGATAAAATATGCTGGCTGAAAGAACATTGTGCCATCCAGCTAATCAGAATTTGGGATTTTGGAGTTGCAAAATAAATTTTTCTGATTGGGGTGTCTAATCAGATTTCAGAGGTTTTGAAGATCAAAGGGGCAGATTTCCAGGCCCCCAGCAGCATTAATGTTTAAGTTTTGTGCACTACATCAGATTATTATGTCAGTTTTGGCTCTGATGGTATCTGTGTATGTTAATTGCAGGTGTTAAAATTAACAGAGCCTTTTTGATGGTGCAATGTGTCGCTGTGCTCGGGCCGTCTGCTCACTAAAGCTTTACTCAGTGGTATTAGAGCATTCCAGGCATGATGATCCTTCAAATCAATGTGCTGGATAAGAACACACAGTTCAAAGACACAATTTTTCCCCGTTTGCTTTGGCACAGATCAAGGAAGGCATTACAATGTGAATCACTTTCACGCCGCAAAACTATTTCCATTTCCCATTTGGCCTCTTATTACTTCTGGCGGTAAAACAGGCTAGTCAAAGGTGCTGGGCATGAGGTGGGGGTTGTGAAGTCCTATCTTGGGAGGCTGTCGTTTGGCAGGCAGCTCTGAGTATATGAGATGAAGGGCGGCTGCTCTGCTGCACTCACAGACCAGAATAAATGTGTCGGCCAGGCTTGAGAGGAGTTCCTCAAGCAGAAGGAACAGCCCCACTCTCTGGGGATGGTTGGCAGCACAGGCTCTGGAACTGCAACAGCGCAGTCTAGACTAGCACACCTGCTCTCCTTTCATACAGAACTAATCCCTATAATCCCTAAACAAACACATTTTAGAACTTTTATTGCCACACGACAAACTTTACTCCTGTTGCTTCCTATGAAAAATGTAAATAAAAAAAGTGTAGAATTGTTTACAATAAAAAACTAGGTTTGGCCCTTTAAAACAGATTCTTACTCTAATCCCACCCTCACACCACTCTGGTGTATTTTATTTGGTTAGTGCCCTGCACATAAAACTGGATAAATGTTTCTGTCACATACATACAGTTTAGCTGCACCTAGCAAAAGAGACAAATACATGTGAATGTGTTACCCACAAGTCTCATACTGTTGGAACAGTGCCATCTACTGACTCATTCCAGCATTACCTGAGAGGACGGATCATGTGATGCTGTCTGTCCATCAAAATATTTTGCATTTTTTAATGAGTAAACATCATTAAAACAAGTGTCAAAATAAAGGTGGCCAACCCCAGTGTAACTTGCATTGTCACTTAGTGTTGCACCCTACGACAGAAGGGGTGTTTTTAAATGGTTTGGTCATCATGTGTAGATGGCAGCCTGTCTCATGGTCTGCATCACACATGCTGATGTCAACCTGAATAATGATCTGTGTTTGTCTCTTGTTCTGTTTCCTTTCCCTCACTCCCCCACCCTTTACCCCTCCACTACATGTTTCTTCTAACACTTGTTCCTGCGGCCAACCTCACCCACCCCGTCACCCTGTGTGAACCCATGCCGCCCTGCACCTCCCCGGCCTGCCCACCTACCGTACCTGTGACCCTGCAGCAGTGAGCGACCTGTCCGTGTCCAGCCTCTTCAGCTTCCTCCTCCTCCTGTTCACCTGACTAGAGACCTACACACATCCATCTGCCCCTTTTCTCAGCGTCCTATACATCTCCAGTGTTCACTTCAAAATCACCACTGTACCCCAATCTGTGTGCATTTCTGGATGCGTGTGAGCTAGTATGTCTGTGTGTGCAAGCATGCATGCACGGGCATGTTTGACTGTAATGGTAAGGGAGGGCGCTGCAGGGGACAGTGCCCAGCCAATTTTAGGTCTATAATTTTTCATGATTTCCCCTTTGATCCCTGAAAACTTCCCTTCCCGCTTCCTGTCTTCTATGTCCCTGCTCTACCTGAAGGCCTTGGGGACCAACAGCACCAGTGGCAGTATTGAGCCATACCTCTCTGGTATCAAAACGGGCATGTTCTCAGGCCGAGTGCCCTCTCCTGCAGCAGCGTTTGCCCCTGGCCTGAGGAAGTACCCCCAGGAAGGAGCAATGCCCTCCCTGACAGCCTCCTCCAGCCAAGCGAAGGCCCTGCTGGCGAGCCTTTCTGCCTCCGGCTTGAGCACTGAGGCCCTGCTCCTCTCCTCCACTCTCCGTCATCACCGCCTTCTACGTGAGCAGCGAGCCTCCTCTTTGCCCCTGCCCGGCAGCCAGTCCTCCTCCCCGACTCCCCCTGCTACCTCCTCCTCCTCCTCCTCCTCTTCACCCACCACCCCAACTCCTTCTCTGTCTCCCTCCTCTCCCACCCCTTTGAGTTCCCTTACCCTCTCTTCTGCGACTCTCAAGCGCAGTGCTTGTAGCCTTGACTGCTCCAGCCTCAACAGCTACAAGGAGGGTGGCAGCGAGCCTGTGAAGAAGGACATCACCCCTGGCAACTCTCGGTGATGAAGAGGAGGAGGATGAGGACATGGGACAATTCAAGCATCATCACATCATGAACCATAAAGAGAAAATGACTACATTATGGAAAATTCCAGCATTTTTTTAGAGTTGTATTTTCTTTCAGGTATTTTTGGCTTTTTCCTCTTCTTGTTTTCCTCTCTACTTTTGGCCTCACTCCAATTTGCAGAGTCTTCATATTCCATGGCAAGAACTACCGTACTGTAAATGGAGTCCCAATCTTCTTCTTGGGACAAGTTTCCACTCACATCTGGTTCTGTAGTTTCTCTGCAGTCCTCCCACGCAGTCATACTGCCAGTTTGCCAGATAGAGAGCACACAAATGGGCCTCCCCTCCTACCAGCTGCCTGGTATAAGCTGATGTGTCTGGATGGATTCACTGACAGTAGCAGTCTCATATATACCCTCACTCAGTGGGTTGTTAGTGGAGTAGACATAATTTCTAGACTGTGACTTTTATCATAGAAAATAGAACTGCAATAATCACCAAGCGAGTCCAGTAATTGTGTGTGTTCAGGATAATATTGCTCTCACTTACCTGCATCACCTGGCAGAATGTGAGCACGTGCTAAAAAAAAAAAAGTAGATCAAGGTGATGATGTGGTTTCAAGCTGTTTTGTGTTAAAAGGCCATTTGTAGATTTTCTTGCATCAACTGTGTTTTAAACTCTGAACTGGTGCTATATTTTCCCCTCCGTTTGTACACACTGTGTAAAGAGTTTACATGATCGTCCTCCATCCCCAATCTTTCACCTGCACTTTGTTGCAAGTGTACATTCCACAGTCTGACAGTCTGCTTTTATTTCATGTCACACGGTTTGAATATTTGTAAGCATCCCTACAAAATGAAATCCTTGCATCAAACATTAAGAACAATTATAGAAATTTTTCCATTTAAAAATGTAATTTTCAAATTATAATGTATTCACAAAAGCACATTGTAGGGAGCAGTCTTATGACAGCACATTTCTATTTAAAATAGAACCAGGAGGTACAGTTACACAAACAGAAGGGAAAAATGTTAAGGGTGAATTGTATAAAAATGGTGAATTTCTGTATATGTGTATTAACTAGTTAATTATGACAATCAGGATGTTTCTGCAGTAGCATCTTTCTGGCATCTTAGCACCTGACATTTAAACCTTCCCAAAGACTCAAGCACACACAGTGATTAATAATACACACATTCTGTCACACATGCACTTGTAAAGCCAAGCTGTTTGTAGAAGCACACACTCTACTCCTTTTTTGTTTTGATGATGATTCATCTTTAAGACACATCTGTCGCACCACTGATAAAGAGCAGTCTGGTAAAATATGCCACATCGACCAGAATATGACTTCACCCTTTAAGGAATCTGATCTACAGAGTGACAGATCCAAGTAGTTTCTTTTGGGACGCTTGTTTCTTTTGAAACTTCAAAGTAAATCTGCTGGGAAGCAGCTTTCAAAGTTCTCAGCAATTTGCAGGTCTTATTGTAAAACATAATAACTTCTTTGAACAAGAACAAAATATATCTTTCACTGCAGTAAATTGATCGCACAACAGCTATGACCCACTTTAAACTCTTGAGTAGTGTTTTAAAGATATAAGAATGTTAACCAGCACATATTTAGAGACTTCAGATATAGCTTGACCCTAAAGGGCCTGAGAGGAGAATATAGAAATAAAAAGCAACCAGTTTCCTCTCAAACACGTGACCCTTTCCTCTAATTTTGACCGTGTAAAGTTAGTTAACCTTGACAAGCACAAAGCAAGTGTTTCTTGAAGGAAAAAAAAAACATCTCTGCATATTTAAAATACTGATAAATATTGCTGTTGCCTCATTTGGTTTGATTACCTATGAATGTTAGGCCTTTGGTGTGTCTTAATGACGGTAGTTGAAGTTATTATTTAAAGCACATCAAAGGCCTGTCAGTGTAAGCCCTGCACAAGGAACCATTTTGAAGCTCTCTGTCCTGTGTTATTGCCTTAAGGCTGCCCACTGGGGAGGTGATGGGGTTGAACGGACAGTCAAAGACAAAATGATTTTTCTTTTCCAGTCGATCACTACAATGTCTGTGTGAAATAGATTTTTTTGTGGCATTGAGATTAAAACATGTGCAAAGGGGCTTGTGTCAAAGAGTAGGCAGCTTGAGGAAAGGGGATTAGTTTGGGGACATGTGTTTGAAGGCTACTTTAATAAGAATGGCTTTGACTTGCCTTCTCTCCATTGAGAGTGCTTGTGATATAAAGGACCCAAAGAGATGAGAGGAAGGGTTTGACAGTCAGAGAGCCATTAAGCGGCTGTTCTTTCCCCTGCCCCTTTCACTTTGCTTTGTCTTTGGTGTGAAATAAAAACCACTCAGTTGAGGTTATCTTAGGATAAAGTTTGATGGGCCTCAATTCATGAACAGTAACTGTGTGTGCAATATGTAATTAGCACTCTACACTAGCACTAGCAGTTTTACCAAGGCAGTGCTCTTTGCCTTTGAGAAAGGCCTCTTTGTCTGCAAGGACCTGTTACCATGTCTTTCCCAGTGCCTCTAAGACTTTGTTCTTGCCAGTACAGTATTATATCAGCAGCAATGACAGAATAACACTTTTACCCAAAGAAGAGGCTGCGAGAATTGGCTTGATCCCATTTTTCGCGGAAAAAAGAAAACAGCAGTTGAAATGCAGTGTGTGTTGAGTTGCAGCGGTGGCATTTGACTAAACACTCCCCGAGCTCTAACAATGTGCAAAACTGCAAGCTCATAGCACAGCGAATTAAGCCTCACCCTGGGTGCTCTGTAGCTCTGCCAGGCAGGTTCAAGCCCTGGGTTTCATATTGAGTGAAGTCAAATGAAAGAAATTCACTTACTCATGCTGTTCCACACTCAAATCCACAACTCTCCGACTTAAATTTGCTGCATTTGCGTCTGGTGAGCGTTGGGGAGGAAGTATTCACGCTTGGCTGCCTTCCCCAAGTAAAGTCTGAGATGAAACCTCCCAGAATTGCGTGACAGTGCTCTCTGCAATGATTTTTTCAAGACAAGTGTTAGTGGGCTGTGATTTTATCATGGCTGGAGGCTTAGAGGGCATGTCGAAGACACTCACAGAGGATGCCACTGGCAATCAGAAAAACTCATGCAAACTTGAAATCAAACATAGATGAAATATACATATATAAATATATCTAAGTGAGATGTTTGTGTATGATATTATAATTGTGAAGAAAAGTGTGATATATATAGGCCTAGGTTAAATTATATACTGTAAAATGTCATCATCTCTTCAGTTTTATATATTAGTGACCATTTTGTACAGATTTTTCTTTTTTAATTCATTGACAGAGATATTACATTTCACACTGAGATTATTTATTCATACGCAGAACATTTTTATATTTGTTTAAAAATATCTGTATAGATAACAGTTAGCCTCTGTAATATACACTGAAGTTCATTTTTAAATTCTAGGATTTTCTTAGTTTACAAACACTGAGTTAGATTTTATGTAAGTTTGATTTACAAAAAGCTTGTCCCTGAAAACACTTGTCCAGCTCGTCTGCACCTTTGCCTCCTCATGTGAAGGACCACTATTGAGGTGTAAGAGGTTGGACCAGTGCCTGTGCTTAGGGGCTTATTTTGCTACTATCTTTTTGTTTTAGGGGGTTGTTTTCTGTACCTGTGGTCTGTTTTTTGGTTTCACCCCATCCTGTATTTGTGATTCAACTGGTATTAGTGAGTTGGAGATGGTCAGAAACACTGATATTGTGGTAACTACTGTGAAAGGTCAGTTTATGGGCCCAAAGGCTTCATAGAGAGCCTTGCTGCTTTGAGAAAAGTAAGTTAAATGGCTTTAATTTTTCTGTGTCATGTTTGCATGTGAACAAGAGTGGTAGAAATGACAATGTGGACGCTCAGTGCAAAAGCATTCAGAGAAATTCTTAATCATAACAACTGGTGAAAGTACATTTTGATGCTTATTCTGTTCCAATTGTTGCACCTAGTGGCTTTAAGTAGCAGTTAAGCTAAACCACAGAAGTTGTTAAAACCACCAAGATGGAGCAGTAAGGGAATTATGTGGAGTTGTGTGAATTCAAAGTTTTATCTGTTCCTTTGCCATTTTATCTTTTTTTATAATGAACATTCTATAGTATGTATATGAGATTTTTACATGGATGTGTGGATGTTCAAAAATCTTGGCATCAAAAGTAGAAAAACAAAATTGACTTGTAAATAGGCCGAGTCATTCCTAGCGAGTTCAACAAATTGTTATGTCCAAAAGAAGATGTTTTATTAATAAACTATGACGATGGGTACAAAGGTATATACAAAACAATGCATGTATAGTCTCAAGCAATCGCACGGTGCAGTTGAAAAAAATGTTGTCTACATGTTTTCTCAAAAAAATGAGAAAGAGAGAAAGAGAAAAGTGGTTCTACAGTATGTTGCAGGTTAACAAACATGAAGAATGAGACATTATTTTGGTATCTGTGACACAGGCATGTTCAGTCTTACTGTGATGTTATGTGACGATGAAGAAGACGATAGTGGCCAAGAGTGTTGAATGTCTAGAAGGATTCAGAATGCTTGAACGCACCCCAACCAGAAAAGTCACCAGTGATGGTGTACTCTTTCCACGGAGTGATTCTCCCATTTGTAGAGTAGTGTGATATAAGAACAAAAATAATACAGAAAATAGATCTATAATATAATAATATATAAATTTAAAAGCCTACTGATACTGGAGATACTAATTTATCAGTGTGGATGCCATGATATTCTGTGAGAAATGTGTGTGTTTTTCCTGTGAGAAGACAGTAGGCAGTTGAACCTGCCTTCTTTTGTACATAATTTGCTGTGATTGTGTGTCCAATAAAGTGCAGCTCTCTTGTACAGTGGCGGCGTCTGATCTTGTTTTATAATGACTTGTTGTCTTCAGCAACAGAAAATGTGGGTACAAACTGGATTGCATCACGTGTCAGTTCAAAGCTCTCCTTTTGTAGAGAAAATACAAATACAGAGAAATTGGTTAAAAAATAGGTTTATTTTAAAATAAAGTCATGGTTTTAATTCATTACTTAATAGGCAACAACACTACAAATTTACTGTGAGGCACAACAGAAATAAGATTTTTTTTGCTGGTTTTGGAATCAAATTCATTGAAAATAGTCCCAACTTAAATTCTATTTACAGGAAATTCACACTAAAATGTTGACAAAAATACACACTGCCATTTGGTATATATCCTATATACAGAACTGTTTAAAGCTTGTTTTTTAAATGTTTGCTTGAGTGTGATTCCAGCTATACTGGTAAAAAGTCTTCAACCAGAAGTGACTCATGTGTCCTGGCGCTGTGCTGGCCGCCGACCATCTGTCCGTCTGAATGGTGTGTTTCTTAAATCTGAAGCAGAGCGAAGAAGTTAATTTCAACAGCTTGTAAACATAAAACATGCTTAAAACATCACTATATGACTCCTTCAGGAAGCATGACATTATTGTACCTGTGATGATGTCCTCCAGGGCGCCGTCCTTCCCCTCGCGTACCTGCGGTTTCACCTGCCTCTTCTTTAGCTCGGCTATCAGGTCCATCTGGGGCATCTTAGGCATCATGGGACCCTAGTCGAAGAATAAAATCATTTGAAATCAAAGTCATTTAGAATTTCCTACCCCCTGAAGGTTTAAGTGTCATGGGTTTTAGTCAGAAAATTGTTTTAGATGATTGTTTATGTTGCATTAAGTACTTCAGAGAAAACTAACTTTCAAATAACTCATAAGCCTTAAAAAAACCCAATACCAGTTAATACAAATCTTTGATATATAATTTTTGAAGATTGGACATGTAATATCTCACTTTTTGTGACCCAGCCTTGTTTGGAGATGATAGCTCTTTTTCCTCATGACTCTCCTTCTCCTTCTCCATTTTCCTTTTCCTCTCAATCTCTTGCTGTGCTGTCTGTGTCCAATCAAGGGCAAAAGGATTAACATGCAGTGCAACAACTGTAATGTGTAAATATCCGAAACCTACCACGCATCATTACCTTGTAGGCCTTTATGAAACGTCCAAACAACGGGAAAAACATGGAAGGCTGCGTGGTTTTGGGGTTTTCTCCGAAATACTCCACCACAGAGCCGTATGCCTCCTGGAAGGAGACGAGCAGAGTCAGACATACATAAAATATACGGTATTTCTTAAAGAATGGAATGTGTGTAAGTTTGATATAGGTTGCCGGCTAACCTGTGCTGTCTTGCTGTCTTTGACCAAAGTTTCCAGCTGCTCACTGTTGGTTTTGATGAACTCCTTCAACACCGGGCTGTCATCCTGCACCAGGAATTCTTTTTTGGCCATTTCCATTCCCCGTTCTAATGAGCGGATATCCTGAAGAATGCCGTCCAGTGATACTGGCAAACAAAGAGGAATTTCTTTAGCACCGCTCCAGATTTAAATCACAATTGACATAACTGGACAGTGTGACTGTTTGTATGAATGTACCAAGGGCTGCCTTGTCTACAAAGTGTAGATCTGTGTGGAAGTTGACCAAGTCAGGGTATTTATCCAGGATGATATTAGTAATGAAGTGAAGAAGCGTCTGCGAGCGGTCAGTTGACTTGGTCTCCAACAGCTGAAAAGTAAACATGTTTTGTTATTGTTTATTTGGTTTTTAAAATTTTCCTAAATCAAGACTGGTGGTGACTAGTCCTTTTTGGTATAATGCTAAATGGTAAAACCTAACGAACTAGCAATATCCATCTAGCTATGATTCTGTGGCTCATACCAAGTAACATTTAAAAGCATGACTGCATTGAATTGAGCAAAGGTTCATTTTATTGCTAATAGATTCAACTTCAAGGGAAAATTAATTCATTATTTTCTTCCTTCAAAAGTTAGATAGTCTTGCTTTAAAAAGTGAAAGAGTAAATTTACAAATAAGGGATACTTACAAGGTCTAGACTCTGCAGCCGAAAACCGTACGCTGCACCCCTCTTACTGCTGTTCATATAGTTGCCAAAAGCGAGAACAATCTGAAAGGGAACACATGAGATGACAAGATGCAAAATCACACAATTGGAAGCTACACCAGCATGCTGTATTCTCTTTTACTTACTTCTAAGATCTTTTTCAGTTTGGTTGAAGACTTGATGGACATGGATGCAGCAATGATGGAGTTCAATTGCTGTGGATGACGTAAAAGTAAAAATGAGTACACATAAAACTCTCTTTCAGTTAAGTTTACAATGCTTTTGAAAAACTGACCGGCTGGAGGCGTTTGACAGTGTCGGGAAAGTTTCCCATGTAAGTGAGAGTGTTTATTCGCTGGGTCAGACGAGGAATCTTCCCAAAGCGTAATACAAATTGGTCCTCATCAGTCAGCTCCTCCAGAGGGCGGCCATCCTTCTCATAGTTAACCAGCAGCTTCATCTCATAATCTGATGGTATGAAGGGCTCAAGTAATTCCAGGAAGTCTATGGACAAAGACTCCTGGTCATACCTGTACAAAAGAGTAGTGAAAGTCACACCAGTGTTAGTGTATGAGAAAGAGAAATCAGAAATGTCAAAAATAGAACAGATTTTCCATGAAGCACGTACGTCTCTATGGCGGTGCAGATACGAGATGGGTTCATTCGCCCCTTGCGCAAAGTGATCGCCAGATTCTTGGCCTTGTTGCCATCAATCAAGGAAGTCTTGCTGGGGGCCTTCTGAACCACCTTCTTCTTTATAGTGGAGATGTCTGCTGCAGGACCCTGGGCCCTCGTCTTGAACTGTTCCTCAAACATATCCATGTTCAGCTCCTGATGAAGACGGAATGAGGGCAGAAAGAGGCAGCTGAGAAAAAGTATTTTCAAATTGCAGTTTTCTTACAGTATAAACTATACAATCCAAGTGAAAAAAATTTAGGATGCATCTTATACCACTAAGATCTGCTCGTCATCCAGTTCGTTGAAGACGGTACCTGACACCTGGTTTGGTTTTAAGGGCTGCCAGTTTAACAACGGCATCCTATACTTGGTCTGAATGGTCTTCTTGCCCTTAAACCCTAAGGAAACAGAAAAAGAAGAGGATATTTACTGTTGCTACCAACTCACGACAGCTTTCAGTACTTTTAAGATTCTTCTGTCAACCTCCTTACCAGGTTGAGTGTTTGGTGCTCCAGGAGGGGGTGGGGGTCCAACACCAGGTGGGGGAGGAGGAGGTG